TTCCCGAAGGGTAAGCTGTGGAAGAGTGCACCAGGCCGGCTGGTGACCAGGTTTGGGGGTCGAGGGACTCGTACTGGGGAGTTCAGCTTCCCCATCGGCGTGGCAGTTGACTCTTACGGGGGGATCTTTGTCACAGACACTGGTAACCACAGGGTACAGGTAAGTACACTCATGTCAAGATGTTACTTGCCATACGTTTGCCTCTTTAGAAATTAGATAGACTTAGCAGACATACATACACTTGTCCACAGGTATACAGATGTCACACAATATATACATACCTAGGAAACAGGCAGTTTCTGGTAATTAAATAATGCGTTGTTTCAACTTGATGATTTGCTGCATAATACCTTCTTCAAACATGTACACACATGCACAGACGCACAAAAATCACACATACTGATACCACCCTATGCTAACACCCAAGTTAAGTCCCAAACTCAACAAAGAAATTCTGTCATGATTGTGCATATCAGTTTGAGTCTTTCCTGTTTTTGTGTCAGGTGTTTGATGGAGAAGGCCGTTACAAGTTCCAGTTTGGTGTGAACGGTAACCGGGATGGTGAGTTCCTACGACCCTCTGCCATCGTGGTCACACCTGCAGGAGACATTGTCGTCAAGGATGACAAGAAGGTAGCACAAATTACATGTATACGGCATAACTTCTGCTTTGATAAGAGTCCTACAAGCACTTTATTCATTGGAAACTTACCATATAGCGGGAAAATGTAGGCTGACTACTTCACACTTTTAGCAGTCCTTAACTGTTCACTGACAGGCTCCTAGAATCTTGGTGACTAACTCCTCTAACAGGATGTTAAGAAATGCATTTCCGATTCCAATTGGTAGTTGTGGGAACATGAATAATACCCTCTAGTTAAAGGTGTATGGCCACAAGCCTCAGGCTGAAGACCCAATCAGCCCAACAGTGAGAGTTTGTGTAACAACTGGCTTTTTGAAAATGTTGCTATTCATATTATTTATCTACCTTCTTTTGTTGACTTGTTTGTGCTTCAGATCCAGGTGTTTGACAGTGAGGGACGTTTTGTGCGGAGGTTTGGGGACAACGTGCTCCGGGCTCCGTTTGGGCTGGCACTTACCATGCAGGGACATCTGGTCACAGTCAACGCTCCAAGGTCTTGTATCTCATAATTTCTCTCCCTGTAATTCTATATTGTATGTACATGTATGGTGTGGTCTGTGGTCATGAATCTGTACATGAATCTGTATCTGTGCATAAATATGTATCTGTACATGAATCTGTATCTGATTGCAAATAAAGATATCAGGTGATTGCCATAGAGAGATAGAGAGAGAGATATAGTGTGGTCACAGTTGTCTTAGGCCGTTGTAGAGTTTTGATATCATAGAATGTACATTTCAAGTATGCTGTGATAGAACTGCTGACAAGAGTCTTAAACAGTCTTTAGTCCACTGTGAAGATATCCTGTAATTTAACCCAATGAATGCATATTCTTTGTATTTTATCTTGTAACAGACCACTAATAGAAGACGATGTAGAATTTGATCTGTTTTAAACTGTTTATACAGAAATGGAATCCAGTGTAACACCATTTATTGAAAGCTAGATGGAAGACACTGAATAAGGTTTTTTGTTATCACAAAGTATAGAAGATATACTGTTTTTTGTTTGAAGGTTAATGTTACATGGTAAAGATCATTTCCTTTGCTGTTTGTCTTTACCTCATGTTTATATCCCAACTGCAGACAGGACCCAGCAGCAGTGTTGACCTTCACCTTGACAGGTGACCTTGTACAAAGGTCGCTGTTTGAGCCTGTTCAAGGTCGTCCCAACAAGCTGCGATTCCTGGCTGTCCGTCAGCAGCAACTCATTGTGTCTGACTTGGGTCAGTTTCCTGTTTGCTGAGACTACACTAACTTGTTCATGCATCCAAGGCAAATTTACTGTTGAAAAACTGGAAATATTTTGAATAAGGCAATCAGATATTATATTGCAACACACCGCCCAACATAAGCGCATTTGCATCAGTATTTCATACTTTGAGAGTTTAAAACAGTGCAGAAACAAGCCCCAAGATGAGTCTTTTATTTTCTGAGTGGTACCCCAAAAATCAGCTCAGGATCCTACCACTCACCGTTTCCCATCACAATCTTCAGCATTTTGTCTCCATATGAAGGTCACCAATCTATTAGGCTTGTGCCATAAAACAGCAACTGGATGTGATTTTGGATTTTTCAAATCATATCCAGTTACTTGAGTAACTTGTTTATCTTATTACCTGGATGTCTAACCTTCACCGATGTACTAGTAGCTAGTATTAGGATTGATCTAGACTATTTTATCCAAGAGGAAAAAGGGCCTGTGAGTTAACACAGTTGTGGTTGTCACCAGGTAACAACACCGTGTACATCACAACGCTGGATGGGAAGGCAGTGCTGCAGTTCGGGTCCCAGGGGATAGGGGACGGGCTGCTGAGTGAGCCGGCTGGAGTGGACGTGGACGGCAGCGGGAACATCGTCCTGGCAGACAGCAGGAACTGCAGGGTACAGGTGGGCAGGAATGAGTGAATGAAAGAGAATGAACGAACAAACGAACGAACCGGTTGGCCATCGTCCTGGCAGACTGGCAGAAAAAGATTGATACAGGTGGAAAAATGTTGATTGAGTGACACGTATAGAATGCAGCACAGTGTAGTCCAAATTTTGGTTATGAGACACACACACAGAAAAACACATTTTAATACGAAATGTGCCAAACGTTGAGCAAATTTGGTCTACCTTGTTTGGGGAGTGATTGGAGCAAAGTCAAAGGAAGTTGTCGAATGTGTGACATGGTAGAAAGCTACTCATTTTTTCCTACTGTCTAACTTTGCTGGAAAGATGTTTGACATTCAAGGTCGTTTCCTGTTGTTTCAGGTGTTCAAACCCAGTGGGGAGTTCTACTGTCATGTGGACCTGGAGAATGTGTTTCGCCCCTCGGACATCGCACTGACGAACGACGGATATCTGATCGTGGTGAACTACACACAGCACCACGTCAAGAAATACAAGCTGGGCAAATAAAAGAAGGGGTTGTGCAGAGATTGAAGCAGTATGCTTGTAGAAATGCTTAAGTTATAGGCAGCTTTGTTGATGTGATAGCTGAATAGCTGATTAACAGTGCCTTGTACATCATCGTACAATTTTATGCTGGTGGAATGTAAAACAAGTTTATGTTTTTGCATCATTTCCTAATCTTTTTTTGTGCAGATTGTGTAGAACAGTTTAGAGTGGGAAGGTATGGAGTTTAAGATAAACATTGCAACCTTGAATCATTGCTTGGAATGGAAAGTGTTGCATTGAGAGAAAGCAGGAGTGACTGTTCCCATGAAAAGTTGCAATTCCAGGGGCAGGATGACATGATTGTAAAGCCAGGGGATTCCTTTTGTTGAATTTGTTTTATGGTTTGGTTTTGTTCCATTTTCTCACTATAGATGGTAGTGATGTGTAGTTGGATATTCTTTACTAAACTTAGTAACTGGTTTAAATATTGTTGGTCATTTGTTCTTAGTTTGTTTCTGTATTAGTCCACAGCAAGTAATTTTTATGGATGACATCAGTGTGGGCATTAATTTTCACCTGATTTTGGAAAAAAACATTTGTTGCCCTTTCAGAGCGGTCAACATGCCGAAAATGGGCAAAGATATCTGTTGCCATGCCAGAACGTGGATGGCCGATGAAATGTGAAGAGAGGAAAGAAGAGAAGGCTCTGATTTATTGTTTTGTCTTTTACTTTGTTGCAGTGTGGTATTTCATTCTTTTATGTGTGATGTTGCCGCTGAACAGAAAAATTATTGTTTAACAAGGTTTATGATCTTAAGATATCGAAATCTCATTTTTTTTTTTGCCCGCCTTTTTTTCGCCCAATCGCATCAGATTTGGTGCCTGTGGAGGATGTCAACCATGAAATTTACTTGCTGTTGAAGAAAGTTGAAGAAGGTATCACCACTGTTAAAAAACTTATTTATTCATGTTCCTTTTGTTGAAGAGTTTATGAGAATAAAGCTTTATATATCTTCATACCTTGTGGTTTGTTGTAAGGTTGATATAATGCTGGTTAGTGTTGTTTCGTTACGTTACTTTACTTCAGTTTCTATTTCATATCAATTTAAGCCGGGCTTTACTAACATATGGGCCACCCCATACCTGAGTAAATAGACATCATGCTAAGACAGCCATCACTTTTTCTTTATTTTTTGGCATCTTGTACAGAACTCTTTTTCACTTTTATATTTGATATGAGCACTTCCACCACCGGCCGTACTTAGCCGTGCACCAAGACCTACCCTGGACGTCTATACCCGAGAGGGTTCTGTGCCAGTATTATTAAGATTAAGAAGATAACATCACCATGAAGACCTTAAAATAATTTTGTGAAGGTTTCTACGATTTTATAACTCCCAAAATAAGTTTCGGGCTGTCTTCAAAAGTTTGGAAAGTTAGGAGCCAGCTGAGGGATTGTGGGTAGTTTCGCCCGTCCTGTCCTGTGATCTGATTGGTCGTCATTTCGCGGCAAGCCTCGGTTTCATTTCACCAAGGAAAGATGGCGCCAAATTTGCTGTTGTGAAAGTCCTTCCGAAGTGCAGACGGTTTTTGTCGTTTTACCGATTGTTGGGGATCGTCTTTACAACCTACATCTAATCATCAAGTCTTCAAGTTCATCAGGTAAGCTCAATGTACCTCAAAACGCAAGTATTCTGTTTCTATTGGCTAGTTTTACGTCAGGAAATTTTTCAGCCTAGTCTGCTGGTGTTTTCAGTGGGTTGCGAAACGTTTCGGTCGAAAATTCAGCCTTTTCTTATGCTGGTCATGCTGTGATCGAGTTGATTCTGTGTTGCTATTCGCGAACGCAACTCACCAGTTCCTGATAAAAGCAACGAGTCTTAAATTTTTGACAAATATTTGATAACAAAAGTGTCCCGAACGAGTCTTGACATGCCTGCAACTGAGCGCTGACCCCTGACCTCACGTCGGTCCAAAATGGCGGCGAAAACTGAAAACGCGAACTCGTGGGTTTACAGAGGCGAGGGGAACCGGTGCTTGGCGGTCGGGAACTCATTTTCCAACGAAGTTTACCTTCTAACAAAGCTCAGAGACAAAGTCAGCTCGCACGAGGTGTGTGCAGATGTAAAAAGAAGCGTACAAAACGAAGTTGACTTTGGAAGGTGTGTTCTGCGGCCTCTGATAGGTGAAAAGTACGTGCCAGTCGGGAAAGTTGTGTGCGTGTCAAAAGACTTTCTATCCCAGATTGAGGAGAAGATGAGGAAACACAGGTCCAGCAGACGACTTTTGGAGAAACTAGACCCTGCTGGGTTTGCCGTTTGCCTACCAGATGCCTGTAGTCTTCCAAAGGTGGTAGGGTCCTATGGACACGGCCCTGTTGTCTGTGTTGAAGTGAAACCTAAAACTGGGTTTCTACCAAGGAGTTCTACCATACCTGTTGCTCATCACAAGATACGGCAGTCTGTATGCCGCTACTGCATGCAGCAGTGCTTGAAGCTCCACCAGGGTAAAATACAGGAGAGGTCACAGTACTGCCCCCTAGACCTCTTCTCTGGTACTGCATGCCGCATGGACTTGGCCATCAAGGCTTTGGTGCGGAATCCTCAGAACAACTTCAAAGTGTTCCGGGATGGGCACGTGATCTACTCAGGTGATACTGAAAACCATCAACAACCACTACAGGACTGCCTCACAGCTCTATTTACTGGCAACGACAAAGACAGTAAATATGCACTCCCAGGTGATTTGGGAACACAAAAAATTGATGGCCTTGTTGACAGATTTTCAGAACTGTTGAGACAGATGCTGGTTCATCCATTGGACGAGTCTGAGAGTTGCTATGGCAACACCACGCCCAGTACAACCCCTGAGTGCTGTACAGAAAGTCGGGCAAAACTGCAACAAGGAGACTCACAACTCGGTTTGGTCCCAGGCAGTGTTTTATACAACATTCTGCACGCCCAGCAGTTAGATGTGCTGGACATTGAAGGAATCTACCCACTATACCAGAGACTAGTCGCCCACCTAGACGCACACCCAGAGGATTGGGACACGTGGTGTTTGAAAGGGCCATACGACAACACTCAATGGACAGTGAACCATAATGTTGTCAAGAAATGTATAGAGAACATAGACTCGATAGAGTCAGTGGTTGCATTGGTGAAAGCATTTCTAGTTTCTCTGACAGCTAAAGACGGCTCCGTTATGGTGGCGATGCAGAGGGTAGAAAACGGTGCAGATGTTACGTTACCTGTGGTGACAGATACCGTTGGTAACAAGTACATGTTCAACATACAAGTTGTTGACACCAAACCCAAACCCCTGCACAGGATTCAGAAGTACTTCAGTCTGAACAAGGATATTGTGCAGGCATATATTCAGACTGTTGGCTATTCAAGTGATGGCACTATTGTCAAACAGGAGGCAAGTGAGGAAAGTGTTAAATAAATGTATGTTGATACAGCCATCTCTTTACCAAAATAGATTTATATTTTTATATTGTTCAGTGTGCAATTTACATTTACATTTACCACATACATTTACATTTACATTTACATTTACCTATTTAAGTGTCCACCTTTACATGAGGTGCCAATTTTACCATTTTTGGTGATCCCTTAGATAGTTTTTCCCTTTGGCACAAGCATTACTAACAGTACTGTTTATATTCAGTCAAGATTGATGTTCATGTGCCATTGATGTATTTGCCAGCCATTGTAAAATATGTATTCACATTTACAGAATAAAATGACAGGAATTTCATGTTTACTGCCATTGTTACTTATTTTATATATTTAACCAAACCAAGATGAGTGAGAGTTGGAAAAAAATCTATTGTAGCTCAAATACCAGTACAAAGGTATAGATTGAAATAACATGACTTTGCCACCTAACTAGTGACAATAAGGCCTGTATAGCTTTTCTAAGCACAAGTGGAAATAATATAGGCCTATATGGGTCATGCAGTAATGATGAGATGAAAATTGAGATCATGTAGCTATATAACACTTTTTGAACAGTTTTAAAGAGTGACTGTGAGTGTGGGAGTGATCTTTTCTCTTGATTGTCATATACGTGTATAACAGTTTTTGGACACCCACAAAAAATTTGTTTAGAGAAAATTGCCTAGCAAATGTTGTCCACTCCAACCATAGACTTATTATTTACCCACAGGTTCCACCACAATGGATAAGAAGATCCTTGCCTTGAGTGAAGAAGGAGATGTGGACTCGCTCGCAAAACTTCTGAAAACATTGGGTCCTAACCAGGTAAATAAAACAAGCAGTTGCCATAGACATAAAAAAAGTAACATTCTAGTAGTATTGTTTTTACACAACACAATACAAGGACATTTTCATTACTAAGTGACGAGTAAGATAAACGCCTAATTATTTAAAAGACTCTAGTCTAGATACTTCTGAATTTTCATACACTATTTTTCCTTTCTCATTTAAATGAGATTACACAATATAGATTGCACTGACACTTGATTTTCCTTAAGCTTGAAGAGTTCATCAATGTTCGTGTACTCAGGGGCAAGGGGAACCCTACAACCTTCCTACGAGCTGTGTTCCATGGTGAGTCCTAGTTTTCAACACTCGTTTCTCATTACACTTATGTTGAAAAACTTTCTCACTAGAACAATTTAAATTAGATATGATGTTTTCAATGTGTCATTGTACATGTACTTAGTACAATCATGTACTTTGTAAGAGGAAAGGAAGTAGTGTACTTATTTATTTTGAAAGATGTCTCTTGTGATTGCAGGTTCCCCCTGTGATACAGCAGATGGCACAGCCTTGCGTGTGGGAGTGTTCAAACATGTGTTAGACCTAGAGCTGCTTGGAGATTACTTTGTGAAGTTACATGTATTTTGTTTTTGAAAGATGCCTTGCGTTTGCAGGTTCCCCCTGTGATACAGCGGATGGCACAGCCCTGTGTGTGGGAGTGTTCAAACGTGTTAGACCTCTGATGGGGGAATTGTTATTATTTTGTTGTTAAAAGATTCCTCTTGTGATTGCAGGTGCCCCGTGTGAGACATCAGATGGCACAGCCCTGCGTGTGGGAGTGTTTAAACATGTGTTAGAGCTGCTGGAGGGAGGAGAGGTCAGCTCCAAGATGGGCTCAGAGCTGCTGGGATTTCTACTCATGGAGGTACAGAATACGAGCACGTCAGCACAATCCACTGCGCCTGTGCAAAACCCTGATTTTTTAAAGGTTTTCGTTGGATATTTGGTCACTGTTGCATTAGAATTTTGCCTGTTGCAGGGGATATCTTTTCCGACCTAACATTTGGAAACTACAGATACGTTAACCTTATATATACGTGAATATGACCTTATATGAGATCTGATGTTCTTCCAAAGTACTATGCAGTTTTTGCACAATACATAAGTCTAATATGTTGAATGTTTTGTATCCCCAGGTTGACTTTCTCCCACCTAGTTCTGTAGTTGAGCTTGCTCAGCTGTTTGTGGATGCAGTCAAGAATGGGAATGTCACAAATACCAAGTAAGTAACGGGAACTTCTGAGAATAGCAATCTTTCATGAACATGTATAGCTCTTTTTTTTTAGTAACTTCCCATGACTAAAAATCTTCTTCAGGACACTTTTTCAAGAGGTGGAGTATGGAAGACGAAAGGGTGATTTGCTTCCATAGTAGTGGCAAAAAATGTCCAGGCTGAGAAAGTTCGAAGTGGGGGCAGAAGCATTTGTCTTACTAAAATAACAGCTTTGCACAATTTTGCCTCCTACACCAGGTCTCTAGATCTGTTCTCCAAGCTGTTGTCATCTCTTGCATCCAGGGAGACAGTGGCCTATGGAAATGGTAGGGTACCATTATTTACATGTAGTCATCATATTATATTATAATGTCTTCTAGATAGTAGGCATTTTATCCATTGTGTTGCTCTTCTGATAATCATTTTGGTTGTACATGTTTTCACATGCTAGAGACTTCCTTCTCCTGTGTGCAGGTAACCAGATGACAGGTGCTGAGTGCAAGAGTCACATCCTCAACTCCCTCTGTTCCAGCAGGTGAATTGATAGAAACGTGACTTAAAGATTGTAACAGTAACAGATCCTTTCTGCTATATGTGATAAGTGTGTTGATAGACATGACAATAATTATGGCAGTATTTGTGAGATATGTATGGACTCGTAACCCACGTACAGAGGCTGTTTGTATATATGCCTTGGTACATGGAACATTGTGGCAGTTTCAAAGTTGAACAAAGATGTATTGCACTCTTTGCCTACATGTTAGGTTTACCTGACACATGTTGTTATCACCTGTTCTCAGATGGGACTCCAGCTGTGTGATACACCTGGCCGCTGTCTTCAGGTAATGTCTTCATTACAACAAAACAGAACCATGTGGATTGTTTCTTGTTGAATTAAAAAGGCGACCTACAATACTCTAGCTGTCCCTGACAGACCTGTATTTAGTAATGCTCCCTCAACGGTATGTACCGGTACTAGTGATTCCGTATTTGGGACCTGTACCTAATTGATTTTTCTGGTACTGTACCGGTACTGTGGACCAGTATGCAGCCCTATTCCTGACTGTACCACCAGGTCCTTACCTTTTAAAAAACTGTAGTAACTGTTGATGTAACACAGAAGAAGAGTACATCGTTCCTGACTGTATTGCTACCACCTTGCCTCTCTTCAGAGACGTGCCGACCACCAACGACGAGCTAAAGTTCGTGATGGAGAAAATCCTGCGCTCGTTCCGCCATGTTGATCTGCAGGAGCTGCCCCCGCTCGTGTATCAGCTGTTACTGCTGTCCACTAAAGTAAGGGGGCTACTTTCTACTTAAACTTCAGTGTAAGATCAGCTTTTGAGACTGAGATGTGTGGATTTTACACAGTAACGTTTTATGTTTTAAAAACTGTAATTATTGATATATTAAAAAAATTCAGCATTGTAAAGCTACCTCTGTTACACATTTAAATGAGAATTGTAACAGTACTGTATAATTGGCTAGCCTTTAAAATATCTGTAGGTTAGTTGGGCAATCCTGACTATCATTTTATACAACCCAATAAATCAAAATAAATTAAGCAACACATTAACAGCGTACATGTAAGAATAGAACATTGCAAGTAAAACTCCTCGATCCTTCATCATTACCTTTTCATAGACTAGGTGCCTTTTGTAGACTTAACTTTCCACACAAGAGTAGCATGTCCTTCTGCTGCTAGCTTGTGGCTCACTGAGGCAGAAACTGACTATATTGTATTGTATTTGCAGGGTTTCAAGCGCCTGGTGCTAGAAGGGATCACCTCTTACTTTGCAGAGCAGGACAAGGCTGTTAAACTACAGAAGGATTCAGAACAGAGGTACAGCTGAGACTTTTGATACAATATATGGTTGGCAGTGCTGTTTTTTGCTGTACAGTAGCTGATTTGTGCTGTCATGTAGCTGTATCTTTGCTGTTGTATTGCTGTTTTAGGAGGATATTATGTTGATGCTTTTTTGCTGTTCCACAGTGAAGACATGCTGTCCACGCTGACAGCAGACCAGCTGTGCCACATGGAGGGCACCATCATCCTGCACATCACCTTCTGCTGTTCCATAGCTGTGTATGTGCTGTTCCATAGCTATGTATGTACTATTACATGACATTACTGTCCTTCCCAGTGAGGACATGCTGTCCACCCTGACAGCAGACCAGCTATGCCACATGGAGGGGACCATCATCCTGCACATTACCCTCTGCTGTTCCATAGCTGTGTATGTGCTGTTCCATAGCTGTGTATGTGCTGTTCCATAGCTGTGTATGTGCTTTTACATGTATACTGACCTTGTCTTGCCCTCTATAGTGAGGACATGCTGTCCACCCTGACAGCAGACCAGCTGTGCCACATGGAGGGGACCATCATCCTGCACATCACCTTCGCCATCAAGCAGGACCAGGACCTCGGCAGGGAGCTGGTCAAGTTTCTCAAGGTAGGAGAAGGGAGGACTAATATTATCTGCACCACTCAGACTTTGAGAAGTATGTATCTTACTTAAACTGTTCAGAAACCATTGCCATTATATCTTTTATACTTACATGTAAATACCTAATTTATGCACCTAGTATTTCAAGCCCTGACCAGTTTTTTGGTCAAATATTAATGACTAAATGTTAATGACTGCAACTCTTTCAAGGGTTGTGTGCCTGTGTTAGGAATTGCTAGTAGTAGCTATGTCATGCATGTATACTGACTTGAACTGTCATATTTTAACTCAGTTTTGCTGTTATTCCCAGGCCGGTCAGCAGGGGTCTCTCACCAAGATCCTCTCCCCCTTCAACGTGGCGCTGGCGCTGTCTGTGGCACGGATCCAGAGGTTTGAGGAACCTGTGAGTACCCGAGGGTCTTTTGTCTTTCTCAATTTTTGGTTAAATAAATACCCTCTGTGTTCTAGCCAGCGTCCGTCTTTCTGTCATTTGACCGTATTTTGCCGATCATGACGGATGCAAATTTTGCCCAATCCTTCATCTTTGACAGACAAAATTTGGCATTTAAAGAGATGTCATTAAACTAAGCAGAGTGTACCGTAAAAATTTGCCCCTCAAATGCAGGTAATAGCCTTTCAGAAGGTCAAGATTTGCATGCCTCCTAGGTTTGTTATGTGAAAACCAAATGAAGATAATGGAATAAAATTTAATACCGCCTAGAACACTATTGGGATATTCAAAGAAATGTTTTACCTTTTTAGACCTTCAAAGTACACTTCTGTGCAGTTTCAAACACATCTCTCCCTGTCCAGATCTTTGAGTTCCTGAAGAGTGCCATCAGCCGCAGCTTCAAGGACGAACAGATCAGGCAGGGGTCAAAATGGGTCACAGGTCAGTACATTGTAGGTCATACATCCATAGGTCAGGAGGGGTCAAAGTTGGCGATGACCATATCACATAGCACAGACAGTCTTACACAGGGTAGGATTTAAACTTGGTGACTGGTCAATACTTGTTACAGAGTTAGTAACTTGGATTGAGGTGTTCAAAAACTGATTTTTTCCTAGAACTATCATTGAGAGGAACTCACTGCCACCAAGTACAGAAGGAGCATCATGACTAGATAGCTTTAAACAATGTTTGGAGCTAGATGTACAGTACAAAGGTTAGGTGTAACAAGTTCATGTTGGGTTCAAACCCTACAGTCTGGTCTCAGGTTTCACATCTTTGAAGAGGTGATAGTCACCTGTTATGTCAATCCTTCCACAAATCTTCAGAAATTAATAAATAGACACACATTTATGTGATTTGTGACTTTCTTCTTCTAGAAATGGTTCCCGAGTCCAGTAACGTGACGGAGTCTTTGCTGGAGACTGTGAAAAACAGGTAGGAATGATGATATGTACATTGTATGTTTCTTTAGAACCCTGTCATTTAATTCACTCAGCTTATATTTTTTGTAGTAATGTGTTAGTGGTATTGCAAGAAGGCTGCCTGTGTCTCATCTTAGCCCTGGTGATGACATGCAAAATTATGATGCACCTACGATGGAAGATTTTTTTGTCACGATTGTGCTGTGCATTATAGATTTGAGACCAGGGCTGTACTGAAACCTACTCTAACCCCCTCTCCAGCTCATATGGATGGGACCTTGTACACTCAAATACAGTCTCATATGAGACGTCCTGCCAAAGTGCTATGCACTATACATTAAAGGGTTTTGCAGAGGTACAGTACGTTTTACTGACATGCTACTTTAACCCCCTCCCTACTGTAGTTCCTATGGCTGGGACCATGTGACACAGGGCCTGGTGCAGCTGGGCTTCACTCTTATGGACTCCTTCGGTACTGAAACAATGGTGTAACACAACAGGGCAGTACTGAAACATGCTTTAACTCTCCCTGTCCAGTTCCTACGGTTGGGACCACGTGACGCAGGGCCTGGTACAGCTGGGCTTCACTCTCATGGACTCCTTCAGTACTGAAACAATGGTGTAACACAACAGGGCAGTACTGAAACATGCTTTAGTGACCCACCCCCCTTCTTCCTCTCTACTGTAGCTCCTACGGTTGGGACCACGTGACACAAGGCCTGGTACAGCTGGGCTTCACTCTCATGGACTCCTTCGGCCCGAAGCTGGGACCGGCTGGAAGGGGGGCAGAATCACCCGGAGGGGCACCAAAGTCTCCCAACCAGCTGGCCTGCAGGCTGGGGGCACAGATACTGGTCAACACGTTCAAGGTTAGTACGCTTGTTTCGTCGACGAAGGTTTAACATCCAGGTAATAAGATATGCCAAAAAACATTAATTTTACTCAAGCAACTGGATAGGATTTTGGAAATGGCCAGCCGATTCAGGTAGCATCCACTACCTTTCCGGTGTCACTGACCGTTTCCAAAATCATATCCCGTTTGCTTGAGTAACTGTTTTATGGAGTACGTTTGTTTGATGAGGATCTCCATGAGTGTGCCAATTCGCACTATTCTTCCTGGAGTCCTGGTGATGATGTAATTCAATGTGTGGTTGATATGAGACGGGGGTTCGCTAGGCCTCTATCCGGGTGATTTGTAGTGAAACACCAACTTCCAGTTAGTAGGATTTGGACCATCGCACACCAGGGCATGCCCCTACTCCTGTTTCGAAATTATGCACTGTTAAGTGCCTCTGCACATGTACATGGACTCAAATATGAACAAAACATTGTAAAATTTAACTTTTAATACTTCAACTTCTCTTTAACCTCACAACAATTATACAATCATACTTTTTTAAACATACCTGATAGATTTATGCTGCAATCATATATTGCTTGCACTCTTCTGCAACAAAGCGAAAGTCACTGCTTTTAATTCATTTAGTCACTTTTAATGCAAAATTACATTATACATTGCCAATAACTTTGTTACCTTACAGCAGGACGGAACACATGTTGGCCCCTTCTGTTTTCTTTTCAATTGAATTTACATCTCAATAAGGATGAATAATGCTTGTACATGCATTTTCACATCGTATTGTACATCTTTCATTGATTATTGTCTCTGTACAACAATCATGTACATACAACTTACATGTACATGTAAAAGGAATTATATTACTCATGACAATGTTCAAATGTGGGGAACTACAATGTATATTGTGCGTTGCAAACCAAAAGTACCAGTCATTACACAGAAAATCAACTGGTTCACCCTACACATGCACTAGCAGGTAAGCACACTAACTACGTACTGTTACCAAATGCACTTCCCCTATGCTATGACGTGTGAATGCACTTCAGATTGTACTTGTAAAACCAATGCTTGTCATTTGTGGTGTTGGCCGGCTCCCGAAACTTTCTGTACTTTTTGTCCTGCCAAGGTGGCCTGAATAACTTGCTTGCGTGGTCGATGGTAACATGGGAGCAAGACGCCACCCGTAGGTTCCCAAGGCCATCCATGAAGAACTCTGGAAAAGATACAAATCAACTTTATTGCTCAACAACTGTAGCTGGTACAATGTATGGCAAAGAAACAACAAAGGTACATACACAAACTAATACTAAAATATGATTCTAGCGGGCTAGTCCATAATGATACTAAAGCTAATCTTTTGTGTTTTCTTAGGAAGAGTATTATTACATTTTGTAATTCAGGGAATATGTCAGCTATTTACAATATGGTGTCGCTTTTGTAGTGATTCATAAATGAATTTTCCAACGTACACTGATATCTGAGTAGGACATGAAAGGAGTATTTTAAAGATGTCTGATTTTGAGTGAGGTAGCATATTAACATTCGTTTTGGAAGCTATGGATTGCATCAACTTTTGTCTGTTTTCTTCATATGTTGGACATGACATCATAAAGTGGAATTTGTCTTCAATACCCTCCTTGCAAAGAAGAGTCAGAGAATTTGATGAGAAATTCAATTCTTTACATTGATGGTTTCTCAGTTACTCCCAGAGTTGCCTTGGTAATCAGAACTTTGCCAACTTAACTGTGCAAATGTGACATAATTTAAGTCTAGATATTTTTAACTTGAGGAGAAAGTTGAGGTTGTTCGAACTTGAAATTAAACTTTGTGTAGTGCTTGAGCAGCTACATGCATACATATGTATGGCCAAAGGGCCATAGAAATGAGGATAGGATGGAAATGACTTAGACTTCTTAACTAACAGGTATTGAGAACAATTCAATTTTTTTTAAATTCTTTCATTGGTTCAGTTGTACAAAAGATAGCCAGGGTTGCCCTACTAGTTACAAGACCACTTTAAAGGGGCTAACCCTGGAGACAAGGACAACAATCTACATAAGGACGGGACATTAAAATCAAAGTCGGGAACAATGATTGTTCAATACCTGTGTGTCCTACTCTCGCGAGCCTCGGGTCGAATCGAACATTTTGGACCTTTGTTGTGTCCGCGAGGAAGAAATTTATGACGACGTCAGCCACCACACAGTCTGGGAACCCCTCTACTGTGTGATAGTGTCCTTTAGTTTTGAACAGGCAGTCTCCGAGGGCGTCTCCATCCTCGATTCTCAGTTTATGATTAAAAGTTGTTGGAATGCCAATGTCGTCCCTCACCGCACCACCTATCTATGAGAGAGAACGAAAGGGCTATCAGTTGGAATTCCACTTATATATACAAGAACTAGAACAGTAACATTTGCAAAGCAACTGCTTAATACGTTGATGAAGGTTAGACGTCACATCCTTCAATCATTATGTTTACCTTCGCATGTGGTCTGCTTTGCTATTTCTTACTAAAATATATGGTATAACAGGAGTCTAAATCCCTCCTGCTGTAAAATTGCAACATGATGTAACACGACACCAGTTACCACGGTGACGGGTCATTGACCTTATTTGTTTGGAGAAGAAGAACAAACAGCAAAGTTTTCATAGGGAAATATAATAAAAGAATAAATAGTAAAGCTTCTGTGACACACAATGTCAAAATACAATATATTTGCAACAAGAGTTTTGCTATCACTGCACACATGCTGAAGAATAGGGGCCTCACAACTTTTGCTCCAATGGTTTTATCAAGTTATACAGTCAGTCTGTTGACTTA